TATATATATATATATTTGTATTGATTTCCAAGAGGAAGGGAGAGGGAGGGAGAGATAGAAACATCAATGATGAGAGGCAATCATTAATTGACTGCCTCCTGCATGCCCCACACTGGGGATCAAGCCCACAACCCGGGCATGTGCCCTGAGTGGGAATCAAACCGTGACCTCCACACTCAACCACTGAGCCACAATCAATCATCAGCAAGTCCGATCAGCTCAACCTTCCAAGTAGATCCCATACTGAGCCACTGCTCGCCTTTCTGGTCCTACCACGGAGGCCCCAGCCCTGGCCCCTCTCCCGGGAGCCCCCATCACCTCCCGCGATTCCCACGTCTGCCCAGCCACACAGGCCTCTTCCTGTCCCTGCGTACCTGCACGATTCTTCTCTGCATCGCATCCTCAGACACCCCTCCTGAATGAAACGCTCTCCACCCAACCCCACGAGCGAGCGGTTCCCTGACTTCATTTTACTTTTAATTGTGCTTCTAGCACCGTTGTGCTCCTGTTATTCCTTTCCTTGCTGGTGAGGTGGGGCTGGTGAGGTGGGGCTGGTGAGGTGGGGCTGGTGAGGTGGGGCTCGTTTTTCTTGTTCACGGAGCAGCCCCAGGGCAAGTGAGAGCTCAGCAAACCTTGTCCGATGGTAGCGGACCTGCGGGCTGGGGAAGGGACAGGGCCGCTCACCCCCAGGAGTTGCAGGTGGAAGCCATGGCCCCGGAAGGTTTAACTTGTCCTTTGTCATAGGGGTCAGAGGTCAAACCCAGGAGCTGTTTCCAGTCTCTGACGCCCCCTCCCACATCCAGGCTCGGGAAGTTAGGCAGAACACTTTCTAGAACAATCCTGAGGACAGCCCTGTGCGGTTCAAGGAGCAGCTTGGAGGGAGGGTGGGGAGGAGGCTTGGACGGGTGCACAGGTGACCTCGACCAGCGCTCCCCATGGGCGGGTGGCGCTCCCCACACTGGGGCCATGCCCAGCACAGCCTGCTCCACAAGGAAGACAACCTCCTCTCCTGCCCTGCCCTCAGGCCCCCATCCCATCCCAACCCTTGACCCTCAGCCTCCCCCACCAGCCCCAGCGGCCATCCCCACTCCTACCTCTCGCAGGAGGCAGGGAAGCAGGTCCCCACTCCTACCTCTCAAGGGGGGGGGCAGGTCCCACTCCTACCTCTCACAGGGCGGGGGCAGGTGCCCACTCCTACCTCTCACAGGGCGGGGGCAGGTGCCCACTCCTACCTCTCACAGGGCGGGGGCAGGTGCCCACTCCTACCTCTCACAGGGCGGGGGCAGGTGCCCACTCCTACCTCTCACAGGGCGGGGGCAGGTGCCCACTCCTACCTCTCACAGGGCGGGGGCAGGTGCCCACTCCTACCTCTCACAGGGCGGGGGCAGGTGCCCACTCCTACCTCTCACAGGGCGGGGGCAGGTGCCCACTCCTACCTCTCACAGGGCGGGGGCAGGTGCCCACTCCTACCTCTCACAGGGCGGGGGCAGGTGCCCACTCCTACCTCTCACAGGGCGGGGGCAGGTGCCCACTCCTACCTCTCACAGGGCGGGGGCAGGTGCCCACTCCTACCTCTCACAGGGCGGGGGCAGGTGCCCACTCCTACCTCTCACAGGGCGGGGGCAGGTGCCCACTCCTACCTCTCACAGGGCGGGGGCAGGTGCCCACTCCTACCTCTCACAGGGCGGGGGCAGGTGCCCACTCCTACCTCTCACAGGGCGGGGGCAGGTGCCCACTCCTACCTCTCACAGGGCGGGGGCAGGTGCCCACTCCTACCTCTCACAGGGCGGGGGCAGGTGCCCACTCCTACCTCTCACAGGGCGGGGGCAGGTGCCCACTCCTACCTCTCACAGGGCGGGGGCAGGTGCCCACTCCTACCTCTCACAGGGCGGGGGCAGGTGCCCACTCCTACCTCTCACAGGGCGGGGGCAGGTGCCCACTCCTACCTCTCACAGGGCGGGGGCAGGTGCCCACTCCTACCTCTCACAGGGCGGGGGCAGGTGCCCACTCCTACCTCTCACAGGGCGGGGGCAGGTGCCCACTCCTACCTCTCACAGGGCGGGGGCAGGTGCCCACTCCTACCTCTCACAGGGCGGGGGCAGGTGCCCACTCCTACCTCTCACAGGGCGGGGGCAGGTGCCCACTCCTACCTCTCACAGGGCGGGGGCAGGTGCCCACTCCTACCTCTCACAGGGCGGGGGCAGGTGCCCACTCCTACCTCTCACAGGGCGGGGGCAGCGCCTCCTGGGACCCCAGACCCAGGCCCAGCAGCAGCAGCAGGCACAGCTCGCAGGCGCTCTCGGGCATGGTGGCTGCAGCCAGTGGGCGAGCTCAGGCAGCTGCTGCCGCTGGGGCACTGCCAGGCCCACCTGCCAAGGCAGCAAAGTCCACGTCTGAGGCGTGGCCACCAGAGGGGTAGCCAAGGAGGCAGCGGTGCCCGGGCGGAGCCGGCAGAGACGCTGTGAGCTGTGAGCCCAGGCAGCGGATTAGAGTCGCCTCAGCATCAGGGGCAGAGGGTGTGCGGGGCCCAGGAGGGGCTGCAGTGGGACCGGGTCGATGACTTGGGCCGGAAAGGAGACGGGTGGGGAGGGGGCACACTGCCAGCCACCGCCACCTGAGCAGTGATTGCCCGGATGCCGCCTTTGTGCTTGTCTGTGGTCTCTCCTTTACGTCCGGGCTCGCTGTCCAGGATGTCGCTGTAGGGCCTGGGCAGTGCGGGCCCCCAGCCACCTCCACTGAAGCGAGCCTCCTCCTTCCTGCCACCTGCCCCAGATGCTCAGCACTTCCTTCCTTCCCTTTTGAAAATTTTTATTGTGGTTTAAGTACATGTAACACAAAATTTGCCATTTCAACCTGTTTTTGTTGTTGTTAATACTCACCCAAGTATATCTTTTCCATTGGTTTTTAGAGAGAGTGGAAGGGAGTGAGGGAGAGAGAAGAGATAGAAACATCGACATGAGAGAGAAACATCGATTGGTTGCCTCCTACATGAGCTCCAACCGGGCCGGGGATCTAACCTGCAACCCAGGTACGTGCCCTTGACCATAATCGAACCCATGACTCTTCGGTGCCTGGCAGACACTCTAACCATTGGGAACACTGGTCAAGGCTCACCATTTTTATCATAAGTGCACAATTCAATTCAATTCATGCCTCATTCACAATGTTGTGCAATTATCACCATCATCTATTTCCAAACGTTTATTTTTATTTATTTTATTTTTAATTGTTTTATTGCTCAAAGTATTACAAAGAGTGTTATATATGTCTCCTTTTTTTTTCTCCCCTTGACCCTCCCCTAGCCTCCCATGCCCCCCAGTGTCTTGTGTCCATTGGTTATGCTCGTATGCATGCATTCAAGTCCTTCGGTTTCCAAACGTTTTTAATGATCCCACACAAACATGCTATAACTATTAAGCAATAACTAACTCCTCAGGCCCCCTCTCCACCGCCCTTAGAAGCCATTATTCTGCTTTAGGTCTCGACACATTTGCCTGTTCTACGTCTGTCACGTAAGTGGCATCATACAATGTTTGTCCTTTGTGTCTGGCTGAGTTCACTTAGCAGAGTAAAGACTATTCCATTGCATGCACATCTCTCCAGCTGTCGTTGGACCCTGGGTTGCCTTCGCCTTTTAGTGGTTTGGATCATGCTGCTATGAACATGGGTGTAAACGATCTTAGAGACCCGCGTTCAGTTCTTTTGAGTGTGTGCCTAGATGTAGGATTGTTGGGTCGAATGGTAATTCAATGTTTAATGTTTGAGGAGCCATCAGACAGTGCTCCACAGTAGCTGTAGCATCTTACATTCTCCCAACAGAGCACAATGGCTCCAGTCTCATTCTCCCCAACACTTGTTCTGTTCTGTGTATGTGTTTGTGTTTTAATGTTTTGCTTTTGTTTTGTTTTTTAATCCTCACCCGAAGATATTTTTCTATTGATTTTTAGAGAAAGGGAAAGACAGAGAGAAACATTAGTGTGATAGAAACACATCAATTGGTTGCCTCCTGCACGTGCCCGGCCAGAGCCCTGGCCGGGGAGGAGCCTGCAACCAAGGTATGTGCCCTTGACCAGAATTGAACCTGAGATCCTTTGGTCCGCAGGCCAACGCTCTGTCCACTGAGCCAAACTGGCTAGGACTATGGTTATTTTTTTTAAATAATAGACATCCTAATCGGGTAGGAAGTGATGTCTCATTGTGGTTTTGATGTGCATTTCCCTAATATTAATGATGTTGAGCATCTTTTGTATTGCTTATTGGCTGTTTGTCTATTTTCTTTGGAGAAATGTTTATTTGAGTTTTTTACCCATTTAAAATTTGTAGTAAGTTTTGAAATTGGGAAGTGTGAGTTCTCAGACTTTGTTCTTATATATTTTTAAAAATATATTTTATTGATTTTTTACAGAGAGGAAGGGAGAGAGATAGAGAGTTAGAAACATCGATGAGAGAGAAACATCGATCAGCTGCCTCCTGCACACCCCACACTGGGGATGGAGCCCACAACCCGGGCATGTGCCCTGACTGGGAATCGAACCATGACCTCCTGGTTCATAGCTCGAAGCTCAACCGCTGAGCCACGCTGGCTGGGCGTTCTTAATATTCTTTTTTTTTTTTAATGGCATCTTTTTTAAAAATATATTTTATTGATTTTTTACAGAGAGGAAGGGAGAGAGATAGAGAGTTAGAAACATCGATGAGAGAGAAACATCGATCAGCTGCCTCCTGCACATCTCCTACTGGGGATGTGCCCGCAACCCAGGTACATGCCCTTGACCGGAATCGAACCTGGGACCTTTCAGTCCGCAGGCCGACGCTCTATCCACTGAGCCAAACCGGTTTTGGCTCTTAATATTCTTTAAAAATTTGATTTGAGAAAGAAAGAACATTGATGTGAGAGAGAAACATCAACCAGGAACTGAACAACCTGGGCATGTCCCCTGACCAGGCATCCAACCAGCGACCTTTCCATGCACAGGACAGGACGACGGGCCAACTGAGCCCCACTGGCCAGGACCCGCTCTTCCTGTTAAAGACGGTTTTCGCTACTTCGGGCATCTCACATTCCCACAGGGATTAGGCGAGGGCCATTTTCATTTCTGCAAAAAAGGCTGTTGGAGTTTTGATAGGGATTGTGTTGAATCTGTAGATCACTGTAGATATTAGTGTCATCCTAACAATAATTAGCCTTCTTACCCATGAACTTTAGAAGTCTTCCCCTTTATTTTGATCTTCTTTCATTTCTTTCAGCAATATTTTGTAGAGTTCAGTGTACAAGTCTTTCATCTTTTTGAATAAATTTATTCCTAGGTATCTTATTGTTTTAGATGCTATTGTAAAAATGAAATTGCTTTAAAGTTTTTTCTTTTTAGACTGTTCTGATTGCATAGAAACTCAAATGATTTTTGTGTGTTGATCTTGTACTACAGCTTTGCTGAATCTGTTTTTTTGTTTTTTTAAAAATATATTTTATTGACTTTTTACAGAGAGGAAGGGAGAGGAATAGAGAGTTAGAAACATCGATGAGAGAGAAACATCGATCAGCTGCCTCCTGCACACCCCCTACTGGGGATGTGCCCGAAACCAAGGTACATGCCCTTGACTGGAATCGAACCTGGGACCTTTCAGTCCATAGGCCGATGCTCTATCCACTGAGCCAAACCAGTTAGGGCGCTGAATCTGTTTATTAGATCTAGTTGCTTTTCCTGTGGGTCCTTTAGGATTTCCTATCTATAGAATCATGTCATCTGTGAATAGATATATTCTGCCTTTCCAATTTGAGTGTCTTCTATTTCTTTTTCCTTTTCTTTTTTTAAATTTAATTTTATTTTTTAATCTTTAAATTCTTTATTAGTTAAGGAATTACAAATGTGTCCTCATTCCTCCCCATTAACCCCCATCCTCCCCCCCCGGATAAGTAACATTTAATAAATGCAACCATAATAAAAAATGA